CATGTTTTCAAGCTTTATTTTTTTTATCTTGTTAACAGTAACACTGAACTTGTGCCGATGGCAAAGGGAAGGTCTACCATGAATGCTGAAACACCTGACACCACCCAAGCAGACCCCAGCAGCTCTGCTTCAGCACTGAACTCTCTTAATGTGTTGGCTCTCTGTTTAGTAAAGCACAAACATTCATAAGTGAAAAACCTGCTAAAGATGACCTTCAAATGAGTTTCTTGGAGCCATAGAAACTCATGCATGCACTGAGGAGCAAGAACACTGAGACATTAATTTACTTTTTTTCCCATTTTGTTCGCGTCATATCCTAATGCTTGATTTTATCAAAGAAAAGTTTTCATTTTACAATCATAACCTAAATATTTTGATATGCCTCCCAGCTTCATCTTGGACCCTTGAGCTTCGGGTGTGCAACAGAATAAATCTAAGGAGAAGAAATGAGCCTGACTCACCGAGGCAGCTTTGATTTGTCTGTGAAAACTGCTGATAAGTTGAGTTTAGCTACTAACTCAGGGGTCGGCAACCCGTGGCTCTGGAGCCATGTGCAGACCTTTCACCTTTACATTGCAGCTCCCTATGGCTTTGGGACATAAGTAATCATTTGAGTGTGCTGTAGACATTTGTTGTTGTTTTTGTTGTTGCTTTTGTAGCTCAAAATATGCGTTACAAATGCCAAGGTAGATATCCCCAACAGAATTTTTTTCCCCTGCATTAGGAGCGCACTCTGGGATGTCCAAATCTCAGACAAACACTAGCCCTCATTTTGGTTTTTTTTAGTGCCTAAATACTTCTTATAATAATTTATTGGCCCTGAAATGTTGGTGTTACCTCTTTATACAGTAAAGTTAATGGGGAACTTTCCTACAAATAAAATGCATCCTCAGTTTGTTGAAATAATCCTGTCCGATAACACGTGAGGAACAACAAATGCATAATTTTCTCGTAACAACAGCATGCCACAATTTTAGTTTGCCCCATGTATACTTTAAGTTCATTTGAAAAAGACTTTCAACGTAGCAGGTTTTTTATGTTTTTTTTTTTTTTTTTTTTTTTACACGTGCATTAAATTACAGTTGATTATGTCTAAAATACATTTTCACAAGCAAGACATTAGCCTATTTTGTATACATAGTATAAAACTAAAAAACAATATATACAGTGTTATCTTCATTTTATATGTCAAAAAACTTGCAGCTCCAGGTGTTTTCTCTGTTGTAGAAACCAGGTCCATATGGCTCTTTGGGTGTTAAAGGTTGCTGCCCCCCTGTACTAGCTGGTAGCTAACAAATATGTCTTCTACTGTGAAACGAAAAATAATAATAAGCAATAGTTTTACACGATGTTAGCGATACTTTAGATTGAGAGATCAGGTGGGCACATGGCTGCTTTAGTTTTCTTGTTGTTTTCATCTACATTTGTATTTTCATGTTTTATGCAGTTAAAACATAATTTATAATTTATAATTCTAAAAGTATGAAACTGAAGTCCTGCAGTGTTTACAGCCAGCAACCATTTTCAGTCCTTAATCTACTGAGATGAGGGTTCGTTTAATTTAAGTGCAGCAGCAGTCATATCAAACTTGAAGATGATCATGTTTGCAGCTGTTTGATTCATCTGGTATTTAATAAACTCAGAGAGGAGAACATCAAGCTGCTAGAAGAACCAAACATCTTAAAGTGGATTTATATTACATTTGGTGGATTTTTACAATAACTTTCAAGAAGTACTGCTGCACTCTGTGATGAAGAGGAGTCAAATATTGAATCTTTAATGGTAACAGAGGAATCAACACACTGGCCTCAGTTATATGTGTGTATAATGTGTGAGAAATAAAAAGTAAATAAACAACTTGACTAAAATATTAAGAACAATAATTTTTTCAGCTGAAGATGGTCCCTGCAAGAAGCAACATCTGTACATTTCTTCTGTAAAAGACGAACACAGTAACACACACAAACACAGAATTACTCCAAAATGTAGTTGAGGGAGGAACTACTGCAGTTTAGTAGCTAACAGGCTGACATCCACATCTATTCAAAGAATTCATAGTAAGCCTCATTTAATTAAAAACATCCAAAGTATTATCTTCATATGTTAACCTGAAATACACCTTACTCTTTTGCTTGAGACAGATGTGAATCAGTTTGTTTGTTTGTTTTCGTAAACATGACACGCTTATGCTCATGTAAGAAGTGTGCCAACTGTTTAGTTCTACTGATGCAAATGCCTGAGTTTCTGGTGACATCCTAATCAGGAAAGAAAATCTAACCTGACACGTTGCCAACACATAAGCAGCTAAAACGTTTACTCTTAGTGAAAAGAGTGAAAGAGGAGCAGATGCCGTGTCTGCATGTTCATAGGACACAGAGGTCTGATTCTGGCCTGTGTGGTTGTATTTCTTATTACAGGATGAACAATGGAAGGTATTCAACGACCAGTGGAGGTGAAATAAGCAGAGAACAGTTCATGGTGCTTATTGGTGAAACCTCTCAGTTCAGAGTGCGTGGGCACGGAGGCAGAAACATTCCTGCACACTTGCGTAATGACAGCTACATGTAAGCACGCTTTCTTAGAAAACTAGGTGGCAAACATCAGGCAGCAGTACTTGTTCTACAACCAGCTGATAGAGTTCATTGTAAACCCAAAACTGCTGTCTCAACTCAGGCTGTATAGTTTTTCTTTACATGTCATCATTTAAATGCTCTTATCATTTCCCATAATGCCGAGGCTGTGAAAACTTGCAAATGACACATTAGAGTTTTCATTTGATGCACTGAAACGTGGAGCCGAAATATTCTGATGTTCTCCACTGAGTCAAGATCTTACATGGAGCTCCAGACTGAGAGCGACTGATGGTTATTTTGTATTTCTTCCTTTTCTGAATAAAAACATCAACAGCTGTCACCTTCTCACCAAGCTTCTTTCTGCTGGTCTTTCAGCTCATTCCAGGCTTGTGCAGGTCTACAATCTTGTCCTTGACGTCCTTTGACAGCTCTTTGTTTTTATTTATTTGATATGATGTAGATAAATGTTGTTACATTTTTTAGATATTTTTGTTAAATATTTTTAAAGAATATTTATTTAATAATTTTTAAAGTAAACACTATCTTTGTGTGTGGGGAGGGGGGGGGGGGGTTTAACCCGCAAAGGACTCTAGTTGAGCTACTAATGCAAAGAATTGAAAAATATTAGATTGTCTGGTCTCTCTGTACATGTAATTATAAACTCATTATGCAGCTCTTTTGATCTGCTCTTGAAACGATTTTTAACGCGAGTCGAACTTAAAGAGATGCCAATTTTAAACTTAAATCATCATTATGCAAAATCTCAAACTGATTTTCAGACATGAGTGATTCTTAGTGAAATGTTGGCATTTCTGTGATGCTTCAAAAAAGTATGAGAAACATTTAATTAGATTAGATCTTCTTTGTCATTTATTGGTTATAATTTCTTAAGTTTTAGTTCATTTTTTTAAAATAAAAAATAAAGAATGTCTAAGAATAAATCACTGTTACCTTTTGTTCTCCACCAGGGAGAAAGTGAAACTTTTTCACAATCTGATAAAATGATCTCTGATATTAGTCTGTGAAAGTGTTTTGAAATAATGTAAATCTTACAGTACAAAATGACAACTAAAACATGGCCTGACTATTTTCAATGAAGGACTAAAACAACCTCAGAGGGAATTCTCTTCCTCCTGTATCACAGTTGTACAAATGACCGTTTTCAGTATCCAGTGTTTGCTTTAAAGCACTGCAGTCAGAAGAATCTAAAACAGGATTTTATCCTACAGGTTAGACATTATACCGATTCAGTAACGTGCTCCGCATTAAACTGAAAAAGGCATTTCTATGACTTACCTCTTCAGCACCTGGTCAGGAGAACCCAGGCCAAGACCAAGGCTAACATCACCTCCACAATATGAATGAAAATGTCTGTTTTCTGCACCATGACGTTCTGCCAAACACTCACCAAGCCTTAGACAGTATCTGTGAAATATTACAGAAATATTTCTTTTTTTTTTGTTCTCGTTGGTGATTAACTTTCCCTTAGTGTTTCACAAAAAAGTATAGATGAAGGGTGTGTTATTTTTCACAGTGAATATGCTAACCTGCTGTTAGCAACCAAACAAGCTGGGTCAGATTTCACCATCGCTGTTTACTTTCTGAACACTAACGTAGCTTGAAACATAGGAGGATCATGGCTGGGATCAAATGTGTCGTGTTTGAATCTCCTCTGCATGTATACTTTAAGTTCATTTGAAAAAGACTTTCAACGTAGCAGGTTTTTTATGTTTTTTTTTTTTTTTTTTTTTTTACAGTGTTCTAAATGTTTAAAATGTTTTTGCTAAAATACATTTTCACAAGCAAGACATTAGCCTATTTTGTATACATAGTATAAAACTAAAAAACAATATATACAGTGTTATCTTCATTTTATATGTCAAAAAACTTGCAGCTCCAGGTGTTTTCTCTGTTGTAGAAACCAGGTCCATATGGCTCTTTGGGTGTTAAAGGTTGCTGCCCCTTTGTACTAGCTGGTAGCTAACAAATATGTCTTCTACTGTGAAACGAAAAAATAATAATAAGCAATAGTTTTACACGATGTTAGCGATACTTTAGATTGAGAGATCAGGTGGGCACATGGCTGCTTTAGTTTTCTTGTTGTTTTCATCTACATTTGTATTTTCATGTTTTATGCAGTTAAAACATAATTTATAATTTATAATTCTAAAAGTATGAAACTGAAGTCCTGCAGTGTTTACAGCCAGCAACCATTTTCAGTCCTCAATCTACTGAGATGAGGGTTCGTTTAATTTAAGTGCAGCAGCAGTCATATCAAACTTGAAGATGATCATGTTTGCAGCTGTTTGATTCATCTGGTATTTAATAAACTCAGAGAGGAGAACATCAAGCTGCTAGAAGAACCAAACATCTTAAAGTGGATTTATATTACATTTGGTGGATTTTTACAATAGCTTTCATGAAGTACTGCTGCACTCTGTGATGAAGAGGAGTCAAATATTGAATCTTTAATGGTAACAGAGGAATCAACACACTGGCCTCAGTTATATGTGTGTATAATGTGTGAGAAATAAAAAGTAAATAAACAACTTGACTAAAATATTAAGAACAATAATTTTTTCAGCTGAAGATGGTCCCTGCAAGAAGCAACATCTGTACATTTCTTCTGTAAAAGACGAACACAGTAACACACACAAACACAGAATTACTCCAAAATGTAGTTGAGGGAGGAACTACTGCAGTTTAGTAGCTAGCAGGCTGACATCCACATCTATTCAAAGAATTCATAGTAAGCCTCATTTAATTAAAAACATCCAAAGTATTATCTTCATATGTTAACCTGAAATACACCTTACTCTTTTGCTTGAGACAGATGTGAATCAGTTTGTTTGTTTGTTTTCGTAAACATGACACGCTTATGCTCATGTAAGAAGTGTGCCAACTGTTTAGTTCTACTGATGCAAATGCCTGAGTTTCTGGTGACATCCTAATCAGGAAAGAAAATCTAACCTGACACGTTGCCAACACATAAGCAGCTAAAACGTTTACTCTTAGTGAAAAGAGTGAAAGAGGAGCAGATGCCGTGTCTGCATGTTCATAGGACACAGAGGTCTGATTCTGGCCTGTGTGGTTGTATTTCTTATTACAGGATGAACAATGGAAGGTATTCAACGACCAGTGGAGGTGAAATAAGCAGAGAACAGTTCATGGTGCTTATTGGTGAAACCTCTCAGTTCAGAGTGCGTGGGCACGGAGGCAGAAACATTCCTGCACACTTGCGTAATGACAGCTACATGTAAGCACGCTTTCTTAGAAAACTAGGTGGCAAACATCAGGCAGCAGTACTTGTTCTACAACCAGCTGATAGAGTTCATTGTAAACCCAAAACTGCTGTCTCAACTCAGGCTGTATAGTTTTTCTTTACATGTCATCATTTAAATGCTCTTATCATTTCCCATAATGCCGAGGCTGTGAAAACTTGCAAATGACACATTAGAGTTTTCATTTGATGCACTGAAACGTGGAGCCGAAATATTCTGATGTTCTCCACTGAGTCAAGATCTTACATGGAGCTCCAGACTGAGAGCGACTGATGGTTATTTTGTATTTCTTCCTTTTCTGAATAAAAACATCAACAGCTGTCACCTTCTCACCAAGCTTCTTTCTGCTGGTCTTTCAGCTCATTCCAGGCTTGTGCAGGTCTACAATCTTGTCCTTGACGTCCTTTGACAGCTCTTTGTTTTTATTTATTTGATATGATGTAGATAAATGTTGTTACATTTTTTAGATATTTTTGTTAAATATTTTTAAAGAATATTTATTTAATAATTTTTAAAGTAAACACTATCTTTGTGTGTGGGGAGGGGGGGGGGGGGTTTAACCCGCAAAGGACTCTAGTTGAGCTACTAATGCAAAGAATTGAAAAATATTAGATTGTCTGGTCTCTCTGTACATGTAATTATAAACTCATTATGCAGCTCTTTTGATCTGCTCTTGAAACGATTTTTAACGCGAGTCGAACTTAAAGAGATGCCAATTTTAAACTTAAATCATCATTATGCAAAATCTCAAACTGATTTTCAGACATGAGTGATTCTTAGTGAAATGTTGGCATTTCTGTGATGCTTCAAAAAAGTATGAGAAACATTTAATTAGATTAGATCTTCTTTGTCATTTATTGGTTATAATTTCTTAAGTTTTAGTTCATTTTTTTAAAATAAAAAATAAAGAATGTCTAAGAATAAATCACTGTTACCTTTTGTTCTCCACCAGGGAGAAAGTGAAACTTTTTCACAATCTGATAAAATGATCTCTGATATTAGTCTGTGAAAGTGTTTTGAAATAATGTAAATCTTACAGTACAAAATGACAACTAAAACATGGCCTGACTATTTTCAATGAAGGACTAAAACAACCTCAGAGGGAATTCTCTTCCTCCTGTATCACAGTTGTACAAATGACCGTTTTCAGTATCCAGTGTTTGCTTTAAAGCACTGCAGTCAGAAGAATCTAAAACAGGATTTTATCCTACAGGTTAGACATTATACCGATTCAGTAACGTGCTCCGCATTAAACTGAAAAAGGCATTTCTATGACTTACCTCTTCAGCACCTGGTCAGGAGAACCCAGGCCAAGACCAAGGCTAACATCACCTCCACAATATGAATGAAAATGTCTGTTTTCTGCACCATGACGTTCTGCCAAACACTCACCAAGCCTTAGACAGTATCTGTGAAATATTACAGAAATATTTCTTTTTTTTTTGTTCTCGTTGGTGATTAACTTTCCCTTAGTGTTTCACAAAAAAGTATAGATGAAGGGTGTGTTGTTTTTCACAGTGAATATGCTAACCTGCTGTTAGCAACCAAACAAGCTGGGTCAGATTTCACCATCGCTGTTTACTTTCTGAACACTAACGTAGCTTGAAACATAGGAGGATCATGGCTGGGATCAAATGTGTTGTGTTTTTGATGGTCCTGATTTTCCAGTGGACTCAAGCAAGAGGAGGTGAGTGAGATGTTCTCTACACATGCTACCTTATTCCAGTATATTCCAGTATAAATCATGGACATGTGGTTTAGAAAACCAAACAACTCAGCGACTCTGAGTCAAACTTAAAAGCTCTCAGGGCAAAACTCTCAGATCTAAATCTCAGAAATTATTGGTGTGTAGAGAAACCTGTTTTTTGTTTTCTTCTTTTTTTTTATCATCATTATTCAGTGAAGTAGGAATATGGTTTACACAATATTTGACTGTACATTAGTGAGATTTAATTAAACATACACAGAAGCAAAATAGAAATAAAAAAAGTGACTTTAATTGTGTGAAGTTTATAATTAAAAGAAAACTGTAGTATGCATAACTGTCTGTAAGATTATAGAGTCAAACTGTGACTGTAAGATATCCTAATGAATTG